TACAACGCCAAATGAGGACCGGTATTTGTCAGTTATTGCCAAAAGCAATAGACGGAACACAGCATCAAACTCTAGTCTCGTTAGCTCTCTTCAGCTACCGGTACCGCAGATTCAAAGAAAAACCATGTACAGACGCTTAGGGCACATTGGTCTATATGCTCGTAGACTTGTCAGATGTGTACCACTTATCGCAACTCACTGTCGCCTGCGATTAACCTGGAGTAGATAGCATGCATTGTGGACACCACAACAGTGGTATTGTGTGACGTTTTCCGACGAGTACAGGTTTAGTTTGATGTCTGATTCTCACCGGAATTTAATAGGGAGAGCTCCAGGTAACCGTTACCGCCAAGAGAACACCATTGAACGACACCGTTACGGTGGTGCAGGATGGCTCGCTTGGGGAAGAATTGACCTGCATGTTCAGAGTGTAACGATGACAGGTCACATCTATCGGGATGTCATTCTGGAACAAAATGTACGTTTGTTTCGGAGCTCCATGGGTGCTGAATTTCTATTTAGGTATGACAACGTGCGTCCTCACCTTGTAAACATTGTAGACGAATGCTTTCAATCGGAGGATATCACCCGTATGTATTGGCCAGCATACTCACCAGACTTGAATCCAATAGAGCATGTGTGGGATATGCTTGGCCGAAGAATTGCGTCCCGTCTACCCCCTTCCATCTGTCTACCGGAACTTCGGAGGGCATTGCTTGATAAGTGGTGGAATAATCTCCAAAATCAGATTGATAATTTGATACTCAGCATGCCTAGGCATTGTAAGGCCTGTATTGCATCGTTCAGGAGACATACTCCGTATTAACCATCATACTAACCATGTTATACTGTTTTTTGTAAATAGGTTCTTTTAGCTCCAGGTAGTAAACATCGCAATTTTTATTAATTATGTCAAACATATAGTATATTTTTTTGCTCTTTACCTTTTGTTTAATAAGTAGACTTTACAAATAAATCAAATTTGTTTTGCTTCTGTCTCTTTATTTGCTCGAACTTCATTATCCTTAATTTTGGACATGAGTGTATATATGCATATACATTGGTGGGCAAAAATTAAGGACGAGAAAGGTTTTTTCAATATAAATTTGTACAAAAGCTTTCCAAATCAACACATTTAATACCGTAAGATCCCCAATACGTAAGGACATGTATAATGTAAACAACACTTACTAAAAGAGAAATCAGAGGGATAAAAAGAAGCTTGATTAAAAAAGTAGCACGGAGCGCAATGCGACTGAAGGCCGAAACATCCCTGTGATGGGTGTCCAGCAAGAAACATCCGGTCTTTAGTAGGGGATATGATCTCAACTGATTGCTAGGCAGGTTTCACAGCGTCTGCCCATGCTGAGAATGAGGGTGTCAATGAGTTGTTGAGGCATTTTTGCCCATTCGTCTTGCAGCGCCAATCGAAGCTCCCGAATTGTTACTGGTGGTAAGGTACGAGCTGCCAAGCGTCTGCCTAGAAAATCTCAAACATGCTCGATGGGATTGAGATCCGGAGATCGTACCGGCCAATCCATACGTTCAATATCCTCACTCTCTAAGAGCTGTTCGTCAGCCACTGTGCGATGACATGGTGCATTGTCGTCCATGAAAAGGAACTGCAGACCCATAGCGCCTCTAAAAAGACGCACATATGGAAGAAGAATCTCGTTACAATAACGGGTCCCGTTGACTGAACCTGCGTCGAAGATGTGAAGGTCTAAACGACTACCAAGCATGATGCCTCCCAAACGAGAACACCGTGGCCTCCATACCTGTCCCTTTCAATGATGTTCGAGGGATTGCGGCTTCCCCGCTCTCTCCAGATGAGTATGCGATGAGAAACGCTACTCAAACTGAATCTTCTCTCATCTGTAAAGAGTACTCGTCCCCATTCATGGTCTCTCCAATTCCGGTGTTCCCGGCACCACAGAGAACGCCTTCTCCGATGGGCAGGCGTTAAAGGTATACACCGTACAGGGCTTCGTGCAAACAGACCACCACCGTGCAGTCTTCTGGCCACGGTAAAACGCGATATCGGTCGTCTAGTCGCCTGTGTCGTGTGTCTAGCGATTTCTCCCGCTGTCTGCCGCCTGTTTCTTCTGGCCTGTAAGACAATGTACCGGTCATCTGCGGGTGTGGTTCCTCGTGGACGACCACTACTGAACCCTCGGATAGCAGTTCCTGTAGTTTGAAATTGTCTCCAAAGTCGTGAAACGATACTGTGAGCAATTCCGAACTCTGCAGCCACAGTTGTCACACTGCGGCCTTCCTCCAACTTCCCAATGATTCGACCTCGGGTAAAAGCTTCCAGATGTCGTCTAACAGATTGATTATTCGCCATTTCTCGCTGAGGTAGCAACTCGGTGTGATTTTAACTGCTATACGGCGTACAATCTCTTTGCCAGAAATACTGATCTTACACCGACAACATGCTTTATACTACTCAGACACTCCCCCATTACGTCTACCTGCATATCTGCGCATGTGCTACCGTACATCACCTTACTTAATCTCCTTATTGGACTTTCTGTCCACTCTGCCTCTTCGTTCAGCTGATATGCTAATTTTTCGACTTCGTCCTTAATTTTTGCACACCAGTGTATATAATTATTACTATTTACAATATTTTTTATCTCTCAATGCTTATGTAAATGTATTTAGAACCAATCATTATACTATTCCACATTCTGTCTCTTTCTCCATCTTGTAGTTCCTCATTTCATGTTGCAGCAAATAGAGTTTTCTAGCATTTTACCACTTAACATTATGACCATTATTTGCATGGTATTTTATGCATATATTACTTCTAACACCATTTTTTATTTTTGTGTATAAAAGTGAAATAAACGTGTAAAAATTTTAGGAATTTTTAGAAAAAAAATAAGGTCTCCGAACTATGTTGGATACCTTAAGGTGATAGGAAATTTTCTGAATTGCAAGCTTTCTTACGATGATTTTAAAGAATGCGGGTACTTGATCATATCAAGTGCTTATATCTAAAGCATTTGGTCTGGGTTTGTAAACTAGTTTTAAAATTGTAATTAGATCTTGTAGACGAAGTCTTTCTTCTTTTTTTACTGTTACAATGTCGAAGCGACGAAAAGGTGAATTTGAAATAGTTGAAAGATGCAAAATAGATTCTGAAAGAGACTTTCAGAATAGTGATAGTGACAAGTAATACATCCCGATCGTTCTGTTCATTACGAATTTAAAGGTAATGGAACTTTGAACATCTGTTTTCCGATTACATCGAAAGAAAATACTTTCCAATAGGCATCAATACATCTGCCTAAAAATTATGACGCCGCTGTGAGCCTCCTGCCACGCAATTTAGAAAAAACCTTTTTTAGGAAAGGGGAAGCATGTAATGATACAGAAATGTTATTGTAGTCAATCCACTGCAACAATTTCCACGTCTTCGGCTCAGCTAGGGATATTTAAAATCCTTCCTCAAAAATATGGAGAGAGAGAGAAAAGCATCTAATTTATATACGTACATATAATTTCTGTGAGTTTTTATCCCAAATTACTTTCTGACTCACTAGATTCTTTTTGAAGTTCCTTTTTTGTATGCTTATATAATTTGATCTTCATGTTTTTCTTTTATATTTTTACTAGCTGCTTGGACCTGCGTTGCTAGGGATTTCTCTACTTTTATGTTTTCCCTTAACCTTCACAAAAAACCAGCACTACCATTAACCTTTTCGGAAATCACTTTGATTGTATTGTTAGATCGCTCGGACATACTGACACGCGTGAGAGAGCGTACACTTACATTTAGTTTATGGGAGCGAAAAAAGGGAATTAATAAAAAGTATTTGTCACCAGAGGGATTTGAACCCACGCCAACAAAAGTGGACTGCGAAATGAACGCAGCGCCATAGACCGTTCGGCCACCCTGACAAGTGAGAGAGCGTTTCCTCACATTTAGATTATGGAAAATATAAAAAATTATTGACTAAAATTTTATTGTAGAAGTGGGTGATGATGATTTTTAATTTTAATGCCGCAAGGGCCAACTTTGGCCAAGCTGCGCCAAACACTTGCTAAAAGAAATTATATATATATATATATATATATATATATATATATATATATATGCACACATTATTATGCATGCATGCATTGTAGAAGTGGTATTCGAGCCTAAGCCCACACAAGTGGGCTGCGAACTGAACGCAGCGCATTAGTGCGCTCGGCCATCGTGACACATTAGTGACCGTTTCCTTACATTTAGTTTATTAGACCAAAAAAGACTAAATAGAAATCATTGGCAGAAAGGAGATTCGAACCCAAGCCAACACAAGTGGACAGCGACCTTAACGTAGCGACTTAGACCGCTCGCCCATCCTGAAACATTAAAAAGCCTTTTTTATATTTAGATAATGACAACTATAAAAATAAATAAAGCAACATTGTCAAAAGTAGGACTCGAACCCACAGCTACACAGCACCTTAGACTGCTCGGCCATCCAGACACGTGAGAGAGCGTTCTCTTACATTTTGTTTATGCAAACTGAAAAAAATGACATAAAATATAATTGCCAGAAATGGGATTCAAACGGACGCCTACACAAGTGGGAAACGACAAAGAATGCAGCGATTAGAATGCCCGGACATCCTGACACATTACAGAGCATTTAATTATATTTAGTTTATTAAAACAATACAATACTACTGAATATAATAACATTGTCAGAAGCGGGAATCGAACCCACGCCCACACGAGTGGACTGCAAAGTGTACTAAACGCCTTAGAACGCTCAGTCATCCTGACACGTGTGAAAGCATTTCCTTACATTTAAATTATGAAAACTAAAAAATTGAACGTAAAATTTATAATTGTCAGAAATGGGATCCGAATTCACGACCACACTAGTGGACTGCGACCTGAACGCAGCGCTTTAAACCGAGCGGCCATCCTTACACTTGAGGTTGCTTTCCCTTACATTTAGTTTTTGGAAATTAAAAAATATGAATGAATAGAATTACATTGTCAAACTTGGGATTCAAAACCACGTCCACAAAAGTGCACTGCAACCTAAACTCAGCACCTTACACCGCTCGGCCATCCTGACATGCGAGAGACTTTCCGTACATTTAGTTTTTAAACTTATATAAAATAAGGACTGAATAAAATCACATCAGAAGTAAAGTTCGAACCCGCGCCCACTCAAGTGGACTGCGACCTAAACGCAGCGCCTTAGAATGCTCGCCTATTCGGACACATGCAAAAGCGTTTCCTTACCTTTAATTTATAAAAACTAAAAAAAAAAATGACTGAATTAAAAATAATTGCCAAAAGTGGGATTCGAACCCATATCCACACAAGTGGACTTTGACCTGAACGCAGCGCCTTAGACCGCTTGCCCATCCTGACATGTGTGAGAGGATTACATTACATTTAATTTATGAGAACTAAAAAATTGACCTTATTATATATAGAAGTAGAAAGTGGGATTCGAACCCACGCCCACACAAGCGGACAGCGACCTAAACGCAGCGCTTTAGACCGCTCGGCCATCCTGACACATGCGATAGCACTTCCTTAAATTTAATTTATTAAAACTAAAAAAAATCACTGAATGAAACATAAATTCCAGAAGTGGGATTCGAACCCATGCCCACACAAGTTGACTGCGACCTGAAGGGCAGCGCTTTAGACTGCTCGGCTTTCCTGACACGTGAGAGAGCTTTCTTTTACATTTAGTTTTTCGAACCTTAAAAAATTACTGAATAAAATTACATTGTCAGAAGAAGGATTAAAACCCACGCCCACACAAGTGGACTGCGACCTGAACGCAGCGCCTTTGAATGCTTGACCAGCCTGAAATTTGTGAGAACGTTTCCTTTAATTTACTTTATGAGAACTAAAAAAAATGACTGAATAAAATTTTGTCAGAAGAGGGATTCGAACCCTCGCGCACACAAGTGGACTGAGAACTGTACGCAGCGCCTTACACCGCTCGGCTCTCCTGACACGTGCCAGAACATTTCCTTACATTTAATTTAAGAGAAGTAAAAATTTGACCGTAGAATGTGCATTGTCAGAAGTGGGATTCGAACCCCCGTTCACACAAGTGGATTGCGACCAGAAGGCACCACCTTTGACCGATCGGCTATTCTGAGAAGTGAGGGAGTATTTTCTTACATTTAATTAATGAGAACTAAAAAAAAAACTGAATGAAATATAATTGTAAAAAGGGGAATTAGAACTGATGCCTACAGAATTTTACTGCGACCTGAACCCAGCGCTTTACACCGCTCGGGAATCTTGACCTGTGAAAGAGCTTTCCCTTACATTTAGTTTATGAAATCTAAAAAAATAATGACAGAATAAAATTACATTGTCAGAAGAAGGATTAGAACCCACGCCCACACAAGTGGACTGCGACCTGAACGCAGCGCCTTTGAATGCTTGACCAGCCTGAAATTTGTGAGAACGTTTCCTTTAATTTACTTTATGAGAACTAAAAAAAATGACTGAATAAAATTTTGTCAGAAGAGGGATTCGAACCCTCGCGCTCACAAGTGGACTGAGAACTGTACGCAGCGCCTTACACCGCTCGGCTCTCCTGACACGTGCCAGAACATTTCCTTACATTTAATTTAAGAGAAGTAAAAATTTGACCGTAGAATGTGTCATTGTCAGAAGTGGGATTCGAACCCCCGTTCACACAAGTGGATTGCGACAAGAAGGCACCGCCTTTGACCGATCGGCTATTCTGAGAAGTGAGGGAGTATTTTCTTACATTTAATTAATGAGAACTAAAAAAAAACTGAATGAATTATAATTGTAAAAAGGGGAATTAGAACTGATGCCTACAGAATTTTACTGCGACCTGAACCCAGCGCTTTACACCGCTCGGGAATCTTGACCTGTGAAAGAGCTTTCCCTTACATTTAGTTTATGAAATCTAAAAAAATAATGACAGAATAAAATTGCATTGCCAGAAGTGGGATTCGAACCCACGCCCACACGAGAGTACCCTGCGACTTGAACGCAGCGCCTTAGTCCGCTCGGCCATCCTGGCATTTGCGAGAGCGTTTCCTTACATTTTATTAATGAGAAATAAAAAATTACTGAATGAAATATAATTGCTAAAAGTGGGATTTGAACCGACGCCGACAGATTGATTGATTGATTAATTTAATATTAACGTTGCACTGTTCAGCTACACGAGGGCTTTTGGCGACGGACCACGTAATTTTGAACCATGGTCAAGTGACATGGACGACACCTGAGCTAGCACCCCCCTATCCTAACTACCACACCAACGGGAGGACGTTTCAGCTCTCGACAGATTTAACGTGCATCGCTGCCCTACACGGTGGGTCTTTAGTGGTACTGGGATCGAACTCGTGACCAGGCAAGCCACGATCCGATATCCATACCACTCGGCTACCGCGACCACCCAACTCCGACAGAAGTAGACTGCGAACTGAACGCAGCGCATGAAACCGCTCGGCCATGCTGAAGTCTGAAAGACCTTTCCCTTACATTCAGATTTTGGAACCTAAAAAAAATGACTGAAAAAAATTACGTTGTCGGAAGTGCGATTCGAATCCACGCCCACACAAGTGGACTGCGACCTGAACGCAGCGCCTTAGACCGCTGACCATCCTGACATTTGAAAGAGCTTCCCTTACATTTAGTTTATAAAAATCAAAAATATAATGACTAAATAAAAGTACATTGTCAGAAGTGGGATTCGTACCCATGCCCACACGTGTGGACTCCGTCTTGAACGCAGCGCCTTAGAGCGCTCGGCAATCCTCACACGTGCGAGAGCGTTACCTTACATTTATTTTACGAGAACTAAAAAAAATAAGTGAATAAAGTATAATTGCTAAAAGTGGGATTTGAACCCATGCCCACAGAAGTGGACTGGGAACTGAAAGCAGCGCCTTTGAATGCTTGACCAGCCTGAAATTTGTGAGAACGTTTCCTTTAATTTACTTTATGAGAACTAAAAAAAATGACTGAATAAAATTTTGTCGGAAGAGGGATTCGAACCCTCGCGCACACAAGTGGACTGAGAACTGTACGCAGCGCCTTACACCGCTCGGCTCTCCTGACACGTGCCAGAACATTTCCTTACATTTAATTTAAGAACAAAAAATTTGACCGTAGAATGTGTCATTGTCAGAAGTGGGATTCGAACCCCCGTTCACACAAGTGGATTGCGACCAGAAGGCACCGCCTTTGACCGATCGGCTATTCTGAGAAGTGAGGGAGTATTTTCTTACATTTAATTAATGAGAACTAAAAAAAAACTGAATGAATTATAATTGTAAAAAGGGGAATTAGAACTGATGCCTACAGAATTTTACTGCGACCTGAACCCAGCGCTTTACACCGCTCGGGAATCTTGACCTGTGAAAGAGCTTTCCCTTACATTTAGTTTATGAAATCTAAAAAATAATGACAGAATAAAATTACATTGCCAGAAGTGGGATTCGAACCCACGCCCACACGAGTACCCTGCGACTTGAACGCAGCGCCTTAGTCCGCTCGGCCATCCTGGCACGTGCGAGAGCGTTTCCTTACATTTTATTAATGAGAAATAAAAAAAATTACTGAATGAAATATAATTGCTAAAAGTGGGATTTGAACCGACGCCGACAGATTGATTGATTGATTAATTTAATATTAACGTTGCACTGTTCAGCTACACGAGGGCTTTTTGGCGACGGACCACGTAATTTTGAACCATGGTCAAAAATGACATGGACGACACCTGAGCTAGCACCCCCTATCCTAACTACCACACCAACGGGAGGACGTTTCAGCTCTCGACAGATTTAACGTGCATCGCTGCCCTACACGGTGGGTCTTTAGTGGTACTGGGATCGAACTCGTGACCAGGCAAGCCACGATCCGATATAATATACCACTCGGCTACCGCGACCACCCAACTCCGACAGAAGTAGACTGCGAACTGAACGCAGCGCATTAAACCGCTCGGCCATGCTGAAGTCTGAAAGACCTTTCCTTACATTCAGATTTTGGAACCTAAAAAAATGACTGAAAAAATTACGTTGTCGGAAGTGCGATTCGAATCCACGCCCACACAAGTGGACTGCGACCTGAACGCAGCGCCTTAGACCGCTTGGCCATCCTGACATTTGAAAGTGAGCTTCCTTACATTTAGTTTATAAAATCAAAAATATAATGACTAAATAAAAGTACATTGTCAGAAGTGGGATTCGTACCCATGCCCACACGTGTGGACTCCGTCTTGAACGCAGCGCCTTAGAGCGCTCGGCAATCCTCACACGTGCGAGAGCGTTACCTTACATTTATTTTACGAGAACTGAAAAAAATAAGTGAATAAAGTATAATTGCTAAAAGTGGGATTTGAACCCATGCCCACAGAAGTGGACTGGGAACTGAAAAGCAGCGCTTTAGACCGCTGGGGAGTCTTGACATATGAAAGAGCTTTCCCTTACATTTAGCTTATGAAAACTAAAAAAAATGACTGAATAAAATTACATTATCAGAAGTGGGATTCTGATCCATGCCACAAAAGTGGACTCCGTCTTGAACGCAGCGCCTTAGACCGCTCGGCCATCCTGACACGTGCGAGAGCGTTTCCTTAAATTTAGTTTATGAGAACTAAACAAAAAAAAAAATAACTGAATGAATGTGAGTGAGTGAAGATTAACGTCGCGCTGTTCAGCTACACGAGGACTTTTGGCGACGGATCACGTAATTTTGAAACATGGTCAAGTGACGTGGACGACACCTGAGTTGGCACCCCCTCTCCTAACTACCACACCACACCCTTATGGCAGGACGTCTCAGCTCTCGACAGATTTAGCGTGCATCGCTGCCCTACATGGCGACTCTTTAGTGTGACTGGGCTCGAACTCGTGACAAAGCCAGCCACGATCCGATGCCTATACCACTCGGCTACCGCGGCCACATAACTAAATGAAATATAATTGCTAAAAGAGGGATTTGAACCCACGCCCACAGAAGTGGATTGCGAACTGAAAGCAGCGCCAAAACCGCTCGGCATTCCTGAAACATTAAAGAGCTTTCCCTTACACTTAGGTTTTGGAACCTCAAAAAATGACTGAATCGAATTACGTTGTCAGAAGAGGGATTCAAACCCACACCAACAGAAGTGAACTCTGAACTGTACGCAGCGCCTAAGAACGCTCGGCCATCCTAACATGTATGAGAGCATTTCCTTACATTTAAATTATGAGAACAAACAAATTGACCGTAGAATATATAATTGTCAGAAGTGGCATTCGAACCAGCGACCACACAAGTGGACTGTGACCTGAAGGCAGTGCCTTAGACAGCTCGGCCATCCTGACATGTGGAAGAGCTTCCATTACGTTTAGTTTATGAGAACTAAAAAATTGACCTTATTATATATAGAAGTAGAAAGTGGGATTCGAACCCACGCCCACACAAGCGGACAGCGACCTAAACGCAGCGCTTTAGACCGCTCGGCCATCCTGACACATGCGATAGCACTTCCTTAAATTTAATTTATTAAAACTAAAAAAATCACTGAATGAAACATAAATGCCAGAAGTGGGATTCGAACCCATGCCACACAAGTTGACTGCGACCTGAAGGGCAGCGCTTTGAGACTGCTCGGCTTTCCTGACACGTGAGAGAGCTTTCTTTTACATTTAGTTTTTTTCGAACCTTAAAAAATTACTGAATAAAATTACATTGTCAGAAGAAGGATTAAAACCCACGCCCACACAAGTGGACTGCGACCTGAACGCAGCGCCTTAGACCGCTTGACCATCCTGACATTTGAAAGAGCTTCCCTTACATTTAGTTTATAAAAATCAAAAATATAATGACTAAATAAAAGTACATTGTCAGAAGTGGGATTCGTACCCATGCCCACACGTGTGGACTCCGTCTTGAACGCAGCGCCTTAGAGCGCTCGGCAATCCTCACACGTGCGAGAGCGTTACCTTACATTTATTTTACGAGAACTAAAAAAATAAGTGAATAAAGTATAATTGCTAAAAGTGGGATTTGAACCCATGCCCACAGAAGTGGACTGGGAACTGAAAGCAGCGCCTTTGAATGCTTGACCAGCCTGAAATTTGTGAGAACGTTTCCTTTAATTTACTTTATGAGAACTAAAAAAAATGACTGAATAAAATTTTGTCGGAAGAGGGATTCGAACCCTCGCGCACACAAGTGGACTGAGAACTGTACGCAGCGCCTTACACCGCTCGGCTCTCCTGACACGTGCCAGAACATTTCCTTACATTTAATTTAAGAGAAGTAAAAATTTGACCGTAGAATGTGTCATTGTCAGAAGTGGGATTCGAACCCCCGCTCACACAAGTGGATTACGACCAGAAGGCACCGCCTTTGACCGATCGGCTATTCTGAGAAGTGAGGGAGTATTTTCTTACATTTAATTAATGAGAACTAAAAAAAAACTGAATGAAATATAATTGTAAAAAGGGGAATTAGAACTGATGCCTACAGAATTTTACTGCGACCTGAACCCAGCGCTTTACACCGCTCGGGAATCTTGACCTGTGAAAGAGCTTTCCCTTACATTTAGTTTATGAAATCTAAAAAAATAATGACAGAATAAAATTACATTGCCAGAAGTGGGATTCGAACCCACGCCCACACGAGTACCCTGCGACTTGAACGCAGCGCCTTAGTCCGCTCGGCCATCCTGGCACGTGCGAGAGCGTTTCCTTACATTTTATTAATGAGAAATAAAAAAAATTACTGAATGAAATATAATTGCTAAAAGTGGGATTTGAACCGACGCCGACAGATTGATTGATTGATTAATTTAATATTAACGTTGCACTGTTCAGCTACACGAGGGCTTTTGGCGACGGACCACGTAATTTTGAACCATGGTCAAGTGACATGGACGACACCTGAGCTAGCACCCCCCTATCCTAACTACCACACCAACGGGAGGACGTTTCAGCTCTCGACAGATTTAACGTGCATCGCTGCCCTACACGGTGGGTCTTTAGTGGTACTGGGATCGAACTCGTGACCAGGCAAGCCACGATCCGATACCCATACCACTCGGCTACCGCGACCACCCAACTCCGACAGAAGTAGACTGCGAACTGAACGCAGCGCATTAAACCGCTCGGCCATGCTGAAGTCTGAAAGACCTTTCCCTTACATTCAGATTTTGGAACCTAAAAAAAATGACTGAAAAAAATTACGTTGTCGGAAGTGCGATTCGAATCCACGCCCACACAAGTGGACTGCGACCTGAACGCAGCGCCTTAGACCGCTTGGCCATCCTGACATTTGAAAGAGCTTCCCTTACATTTAGTTTATAAAAATCAAAAATATAATGACTAAATAAAAGTACATTGTCAGAAGTGGGATTCGTACCCATGCCCACACGTGTGGACTCCGTCTTGAACGCAGCGCCTTAGAGCGCTCGGCAATCCTCACACGTGCGAGAGCGTTACCTTACATTTATTTTACGAGAACTAAAAAAAAATAAGTGAATAAAGTATAATTGCTAAAAGTGGGATTTGAACCCATGCCCACAGAAGTGGACTGGGAACTGAAAGCAGCGCTTTAGACCGCTGGGGAGTCTTGACATATGAAAGAGCTTTCCCTTACATTTAGCTTATGAAAACTAAAAAAAAATGACTGAATAAAATTACATTATCAGAAGTGGGATTCTGATCCATGCCCACACGAGTGGACTCCGTCTTGAACGCAGCGCCTTAGACCGCTCGGCCATCCTGACACGTGCGAGAGCGTTTCCTTAAATTTAGTTTATGAGAACTAAACAAAAAAAAATAACTGAATGATTGTGAGTGAGTGAAGATTAACGTCGCGCTGTTCAGCTACACGAGGACTTTTGGCGACGGATCACGTAATTTTGAAACATGGTCAAGTGACGTGGACGACACCTGAGTTGGCACCCCCCTCTCCTAACTACCACACCACACCAATGGCAGGACGTCTCAGCTCCCGACAGATTTAGTTTGCATCGCTGCCCTACATGGCGACTCTTTAGTGTGACTGGGCTCGAACTCGTGACAAAGCCAGCCACGATCCGATGCCTATACCACTCGGCTACCGCGGCCACATTATAACTAAATGAAATATAATTGCTAAAAGAGGGGATTTGAACCCACGCCCACAGAAGTGGATTGCGAACTGAAAGCAGCGCCAAAACCGCTCGGCATTCCTGAAACATTAAAGAGCTTTCCCTTACACTTAGGTTTTGGAACCTCAAAAAATGACTGAATCGAATTACGTTGTCAGAAGAGGGATTCAAACCCACACCAACAGAAGTGAACTCTGAACTGTACGCAGCGCCTAAGAACGCTCGGCCATCCTAACATGTGTGAGAGCATTTCCTTACATTTAAATTATGAGAACAAACAAATTGACCGTAGAATATATAATTGTCAGAAGTGGCATTCGAACCAGCGACCACACAAGTGGACTGTGACCTGAAGGCAGTGCCTTAGACAGCTCGGCCATCCTGACATGTGGAAGAGCTTCCATTACGTTTAGTTTATGAGAACTAAACAAAAAAAATAACTGAATGAAATATAATTGTTAAAATAGGGATTTGAACCCACGTCCTTAGAAGTGGACTGCGAACTAAAATCAGCGCCAGAAACCGCTCGGCCATCCTGAAACGAGAAAGAGCTTTCTTTTACATTTAATTTCTGGAACCTAAAAAAATTGACTGTTAAGAATTACGTTGTCCGAAGTGGGATACGAATCCACACATCATATAAGCGCACTGCGATCTGAAAGCTGCGATTTAGACTGTTCCGGAATTTTGACATGTGAAAGAGCTTTTCCTTACGTTTAGTTTTTGAAACCTAAAAAAAAATTAACTGAACAAAATTGTATTGTCAGAAATGGGATTCGAACCCACTCCCATGGAAGTGGACTGCGACCTGAACGCAGCGCCTTAGACCACTCGGCCATCCTGGCACGTGGTATTGCGTTTCCTTCCATATAATTTATGAAAACAAATAAAAAATGAAAAATATCACACTGTCAAAGTGGGATTCGAAGCCAAGCCTACCGAAGTGGACTGCGACCTGAACTTAGAGCCTTAGACCGCACGCCCATCCGGACAAGTGCGAGATCATTTCCTTGCATTTAATTTAGGAGAATTAAAAACTTGACCGTATAATATACAATTGTCAGAAGTGGGATTCCAACCCAACCACACACAATTGGACAGCTACCTGAAGGCAGCGTCTTAGACCGATCTACCATCCTTACCAGTGCGAGAGCGCGCGTTTCCTTATATTTAATTTATGAGAGCTAAAAAAAATGACTGAATGAAATATAATTGTTCAAAGTGTGATTCAAACCCACGCCCACAGAATTGTACTGCGACTGGAATGCAGCGCCTTACACAGCTCGGTCATCCAGACATATACGGGAGTGTGTTTTCTTACATTTAATTTATGAGAACTAAAAAAAATGGATAATGAAATATAATGGCCAGACATTGGATTCGGACCCCCGCCCACGCAAGTGGACTGCGATCTGAACGCAGAGCCTTAGAACGCTAGTCAATCCTGACACGTGCGAGAGCGTTTCCTTACATTTAATTTATGATAACTCAAAAAAAAAATTTTTGGCGACAAAAAATTTGGCGACCAAAAGTGGGTCCTCCTAGGATTCAACCGAGCCTTTGACCGCTGGGCCATCCTAAATTTACCTTAAATTTAGTTTTTGGAACCTAAAAAAAGTAACTGAATAAATTTTTATTGTCAGAAGTTGGATTCGAACCCACGCCCACAAAAGTGGACTGCGAACTAAACGCATCGCCTTAAACCGCTCGGCGATCCTGAAACGTGAGAGAGCTTTTTCCCTTACATTTAGTTTTGGAACCTAAAAAAAAATGAATGAAAAGTATTATGTTGTCCGAAGTGGGATTCGAATTCACTCTCACACAAGAGGACTGCGACCTGTATGCAGTGTCTTAGACCGCTCGGTCATCTGATATGAGAATGAGATTTCCCGTACACCTAATGTTTGAAACCTAAAAAAATTAACTGAATAAAATTGTATCGTCTCAAATGGGATTCGAACCCACGCCCATACAAGTCGACTGCGATCTAAACGGAGCATCTTAGACCGATCGGCCATGCTGACAAGTGCTACAGCGTTTCCTTACATTTAAGTTATGAGAACTAAAAAAAAAAAAAAAAAATAACTGCATAAAATATAATTGCTATAACATGATTTGAAACCACACAAGTGGACTGCGATCTGAACGCAACGCCTTAGACCACTCGCCCATCCTGACATGTGAAAGAGCTTTCCATTAAATTTAGATTATGAAAACTAAAAGTAATGACTGAATAAAATTACATTGCCAGAAGTGGGATTCGAACTCACGCCCACAGAAGTGGACAGAAATCTGAACGCAGCGCCTTAGACCGCTCGGCCATCCTGACACGTGTGAGAGTGTTTCCTTTCATTTAATTTATAAGAACTAAAAAAAATGAATGAATGAATTATAATTGTCAAACGTGGAATCCGAAACCACGCCTGCAGAATTTTACTGCGACCTGAACGTAGCGCCTTAGACCGATCAGGAATCTTAACCTGTAAAACAGTTTTCCCTTACATTTAGTTTATGAAAACCAAAAAAATAATGACTGAATAAAATTACCTTATGAGAAGTGGGATTCGAAACCACGCCCACACGAGTGGACTGCGACCTGAACGCAGCGGCTTTGACCGCTTGGCCATCCTGTTATTTGCAAGAACGCGTTTCCTTTCATTAACTTTATGAGAACTAAAAAAAAAAAAATGACTCAATTAAATATAATTGCTAGACGTGGGTTTGGACACCCGCCCACGCAAGTGGACTGCGACCTGAACGCGGCGCGTTAGACCGCTCGGCCATCCTGACACGTAAAAGAGCTTTCCCTTGCATTTAGTTTTTTAACCTCAAACAATTACTGAATAGAAATACATTGTCAGAAGTGGGATTCGAACCCTCGCCCACAGAAGTGGACTGCGACCTGAACGCAGCGCCTTAGACCGCTCGGCCATCCTAACACGTAAAAGACCTAATCCTTGCATTTAGTTCTTTAACCTCAAAAAATGTTTGAACTGAAATACATTGTCAGATGTGCGATTCAAACCCACGGTCACAGAAGTAACCTGCGATCTGATCGCAGAGCCTTAGCCCGCTCGACCATCCTGACATGTGAAAGAGATTTCCCTTACATTTAGTTTTTGGAACCTATGAAAAGTAACTGGATAAAATTTTATTGTCAGAAGTGGGATTCGAACCCACGCCCACAGAAGTGGACTGCGACCTGAACGCAGCACCTTAGACCGCTCGGCCATCCTGACACGTGAGAGTGTTTCCTTTTGGTAAAATCCTAGGAGGACCCCCTGCTGTTTTGGCGCCAAAAAGCGCCAAATTGAATGTTTTCAAAAAGGCGTCAATGATGAAAAACTCTTGGGAAGCGCATGCGTCAGCGGGGGATGAAATGGGCGTTTCGCAAAGATGAAAACGAATAAATACATTAATTTAATCATTATATAAAGAAAAAAACAGAGAAGGCAATGAAATTCATTTTAAAAAAGCATTCTAAAACCAGTGTGTACAACATGATTTACATTTTTAAAAAAGGACGAAAGGGGCGTTTCGCAAATATAAAATTGAAGAAATACATGAAATCAATCATTTTAAAAAATTTTAAAAGGCACTTACCTTACGCTTGCATTTCGTCCTGTTCCGTTGGTGGATACACCCTTCTATAACATGTTACTGGATCAAGAGAGATTTTAACATAAAGTGATTGTAAAGAATAGAATTAAAGAAATACAAAAACAAAGTGATCCCAAGGAATGGTGCTACTGTAAGGAAAGGATAATCCCGCTGATTTAATAAGTCGGGGTTTGCCTTTAAATGATCTTAAAAATAACAAAATATGGTGGCATGGTGCGATGGATGCAAGGAATTCATGAAAATTGTCATCCACCAACTTTTGTGACCTGTTCTTATTAACTTTCAAGTCCTTCACCAAGAACGCATTCATGCTCTTGCCAAACCAATATCTGGTCAAACGCAAGATAATTATTATAGCAAGTTTGCTTTCGCTAAACCAAGTGCCTTTCTCAAACTCCGAACAACGTCGTGGCGATTATCTTTCGACTGGTTGCGGCAACGCCATTCGTAGCCGTCAACCGTTCCCTTTCGTTCTTACAAACACATATTTTTTTTAAACCTCGGACATTCTTAACGAGAAGCAATTAAATTAGCTTTCATACACCATTCTAATGTCTCTTTCTTCCCCTTTGTGCCCAGGAGCACAAAGAAACCTGTCGTAGCCTCACTTTCAATTAAATTCCTTTCACACGCCATTCTTAACAACCGGTGGAGAGCAGAACTTCTCAAACGAGGTCAAATGTCAAAATGACGTTTTTTCGGAAAAGGCGAAAACGTTGTACTTTTTTAGGGTTGCCATTTTTAGGTGATTTGAAAATCCAAATTTTTGGATGAAATGGAAGGGTTACCATATTGTAACCTTTATCGCTCAAAATTTGGCGACAAAAAAATTTGGCGACCAAAAGTGGGTCCTCCTAGGATTCAACCAACACGCCTGCAGAATTTTACTGCGACTTGAACGCAGCGCTTCAGACCGCTCATTAATCTTAACCTGTGAAAGATCTTTCCCTCACATTTAATTTATGAAAACTAAAAAAAAAATGACTGAATAAAATTACATTATCAGAAGTGGGATTCGAACCCACGACAAAACGAGTGGACTTCGACCTGAACGCAGCGCTTTTGACCGCTTGGGCATCCTGAAATTTGCGAGAACTTTTCCTTTAATTTACTTTACGAGAACTGAAAAAAATGACTGAATAAAATTTTATTGTCAGAAGTGGAATTCGAAGCCACGCACACAGAAGTGAACTGCGACCTGAACGCAGCGCCATTGACCGCTCGGCCATCCTGACACGTAAAAGAGCTTTCCCTTGAATTTAGATTTTTAACCTCAAAAATGACTGAATAGGAATACATTTTCCGAAATGGGATTCGAACCCACTCCGACACAAGTGGACTGCGACCTAGAAGCAGCGCCTTAGACCGCTCGGCCATCCGGACACGAGTGAGAGCGTTTCCATTCATTTAATTAATGAATGAGAACTAAAAAAATGAATGAATGAAATATAATTGAAAACGTAGGATTCAAACCCACGTCCGAAGAATTTTACTGTGACCTGAATGCAGCACTTTAGACCGATCGAGAATCTTTACCTGTGAAACAGTTTTCCCTTACATTTAGTTTATGAAAACTAAAAAAATAATGACTGAATAAAATTACATTATCAGTAGTGGGATTCGAACCCACGACAAAACCAGTGGACTGCGAACTGAACGCAGCGCTTTAGACCGCTCAGGAATCTTAACCCGTGAAAGATCTTTCCCTTACATTTATTTTATGAAAACTAAAAAAAAATAACTGAATAATTTTTTATTGTCAGAAGTTTGATTCGAACCCACGCCCACAGAAGTGGACTGGGAACTGAAAGCAGCGCTTTAGACCGCTGGGGAGTCTTGACATATGAAAGAGCTTTCCCTTACATTTAGCTTATGAAAACTAAAAAAAAAAAAAATGACTGAATAAAATTACATTATCAGAAGTGGAATTCTGATCCATGCCCACACGAGTGGACTCCGTCTTGAACGCAGCGCCTTAGACCGCTCGGCCATTCTGACACGTGCGAGAGCGTTTCCTTAAATTTAGTTTATGAGAACTAAACAAAAAAAAAATAACTGAATGATTGTGAGTGAGTGAAGATTAACGTCGCGCTGTTCAGCTACACGAGGACTTTTGGCGACGGATCACGTAATTTTGAAACATGGTCAAGTGACGTGGACGACACCTGAGTTGGCACCCCCCTCTCCTAACTACCACACCACACCAATGGCAGGACGTCTCAGCTCTCGACAGATTTAGCGTGCATCGCTGCCCTACATGGCGACTCTTTAGTGTGACTGGGCTCGAACTCGTGACAAAGCCAGCCACGATCCGATGCCTATACCACTCGGCTACCGCGGCCACATAACTTAATGAAATATAATTGCTAAAAGAGGGATTTGAACCCACGCCCACAGAAGTGGATTGCGAACTGAAAGCAGCGCCAAAAACCGCTCGGCATTCCTGAAACATGAAAGAGCTTTCCCTTACACTTAGGTTTTGGAACCTCAAAAAATGACTGAATCGAATTATGTTGTCAGAAGAGGGATTCAAACCCACACCAACAGAAGTGAACTCTGAACTGTACGCAGCGCCTAAGAACGCTCGGCCATCCTAACATGTGTGAGAGCATTTCCTTACATTTAAATTATGAGAACAAACAAACTGACCGTAGAATATATAATTGTCAGAAGTGGCATTCGAACCAGCGACCACACAAGTGGACTGTGACCTGAAGGCAGTGCCTTAGACAGCTCGGCCATCCTGACATGTGGAAGAGCTTCCATTACGTTTAGTTTATGAGAACTAAACAAAAAAATAACTGAATGAAATATAATTGTTAAAATAGGGATTTGAACCCACGCCCTTAGAAGTGGACTGCGAACTAAAATCAGCGCCAGAAACCGCTCGGCCATCCTGAAACGAGAAAGAGCTTTCTTTTACATTTAATTTCTGGAACCTAAAAAATTGACTGTTAAGAATTACGTTGTCCGAAGTGGGATACGAATCCACACATGATATAAGCGCCCTGCGACCTGAAAGCAGCGATTTAGACTGTTCCGGAATTTTGACATGTGAAAGAGCTTTTTCCTTACGTTTAGTTTTGAAACCTAAAAAAATTAACTGAACAAAATTGTATTGTCAGAAATGGGATTCGAACCCACTCCCATGGAAGTGGACTGCGACCTGAACGCAGCGCCTTAGACCACTCGGCCATCCTGGCACGTGGTATTGGGTTTCCTTCCATATAATTTATGAAAACAAATAAAAAATGACTGAAAAATATCACACTGTCAAAGTGGGATTCGAAGCCAAGCCTACCGAAGTGGACTGCGACCTGAACTTAGCGCCTTAGACCGCAAGCCCATCCGGACAAGTGCGAGATCATTTCCTTGCATTTAATTTAGGAGAATTAAAAACTTGACCGTATAATATACAATTGTCAGAAGTGGGATTCCAACCCAACCACACACAATTGGACAGCTACCTGAAGGCAGCGTCTTAGACCGATCTACCATCCTTACCAGAGCGAGAGCGCGCGTTTCCTTATATTTAATTTATGAGAGCTAAAAAAAATGACTGAATGAAATATAATTGTTCAAAGTGGGATTCAAACCCACGCCCACAGAATTGTACTGCGACCGGAACGCAGCGCCTTACACAGCTCGGTCATCCAGACATATACGGGAGTGTGTTTTCTTACATTTAATTTATGAGAACTAAAAAAAATGGATAATGAAATATAATGGCCAGACATTGGATTCGGACCCCCGCCCACGCAAGTGGACTGCGATCTGAACGCAGAGCCTTAGAACGCTATTCAATCCTGACACGTGCGAGAGCGTTTCCTTACATTTAATTTATGATAACTCAAAAAAAAAAATTTTGGCGACAAAAAATTTGGCGACCAAAAGTGGGTCCTCCTAGGATTCAACCTTTGACCGCTGGGCCATCCTAAATTTACCTTAAATTTAGTTTTTGGAACCTAAAAAAAGTAACTGAATAAATTTTTATTGTCAGAAGTTGGATTCGAACCCACGCCCACAAAAGTGGACTGCGAACTGAACGCATCGCCTTAAACCGCTCGGCGATCCTGAAACGTGAGAGAGCTTTCCCTTACATTTAGTTTTTGGAACCTAAAAAAAAAATGAATGAAAAGTATTATGTTGTCCGAAGTGGGATTCGAATTCACTCTCACACAAGAGGACTGCGACCTGTATGCAGTGTCTTAGACCGCTCGGTCATCTGATATGAGAAAGAGATTTCCCGTACACCTAATGTTTGAAACCTAAAAAAATTAACTGAATAAAATTGTATCGTCTCAAATGGGATTCGAACCCACGCCCATACAAGTCGACTGCGATCTAAACGGAGCATCTTAGACCGATCGGCCATGCTGACAAGTGCTACAGCGTTTCCTTACATTTAAGTTATGAGAACTAAAAAAAAATAACTGCATAAAATATAATTGCTATAACATGATTTGAAACCACACAAGTGGACTGCGATCTGAACGCAACGCCTTAGACCACTCGCCCATCCTGACATGTGAAAGAGATCTCCCTTACATTTAAGTTTTGAAACCTGAAAAGGAATAACTGAATAAAATTTTATTGTCAGAAGTGGTATTTGAACTTACGCCCACAGAAGTGGACTGCGTTCTGAACTCAGCGTCTTATAACGCTCGGCCATCCTGACATGTGAAAGAGCTTTCCATTACATTTAGATTATGAAAACTAAAAAGTAATGACTGAATAAAATTACATTGCCAGAAGTGGGATTCGAACTCACGCCCACAGAAGTGGACAGAAATCTGAACGCAACGCCTTAGACCGCTCGGCCATCCTGACACGTGTGAGAGTGTTTCCTTTCATTTAATTTATAAGAACTAAAAAAAAAATGAATGAATGAATTATAATTGTCAAACGTGGAATCCGAAACCACGCCTGCAGAATTTTACTGTGACCTGAACGTAGCGCCTTAGACCGATCAGGAATCTTAACCTGTAAAACAGTTTTCCCTTACATTTAGTTTATGAAAACCAAAAAATAATGACTGAATAAAATTACCTTATGAGAAGTGGGATTCGAAACCACGCCCACACGAGTGGACTGCGACCTGAACGCAGCGTCTTTGACCGCTTGGCTATCCTGTTATTTGCGAGAACGCGTTTCCTTTCATTAACTTTATGAGAACTAAAAAAAAATGACTCAATTAAATATAATTGCTAGACGAGGGTTTGGACACCCGCCCACGCAAGTGGACTGCGACCTGAACGCGGCGCCTTAGACCGCTCGGCCATCCTGACACGTAAAAGAGCTTTCCCTTGCATTTAAAATTTTAACCTCAAAAATGACTGAATAGGAATACATTTTCCGAAATGGGATTCGAACCCACTCCGACACAAGTGGACTGCGACCTAGAAGCAGCGCCTTAGACCGCTTGGGCATCCTGAAATTTGGGAGAACTTTTCCTTTAATTTACTTTACGAGAACTGAAAAAAATGACTGAATAAAATTTTATTGTCAGAAGTGGGATTCGAACCCACGCACACAGAAGTGAACTGCGACCTGAACTCAGCGCCTTTGAGCGCTCGGCCATCCTGGCACGTAAAAGAGCTTTCCCTTGTATTTAGTTTTTTAACCTTTAAAAAAATGACTGAATAGGAATACATTTTCCGAAGTGGGATTCGAACCCACTCCGACACAAGTGGACTGCGACCTAGAAGCAGCGCCTTAGACCGCTCGGTCATCCTGACATGTGAAAGACATTTCCCTTACATTTAGTTTTTGGAACCTAAGAAAAGAAACTGAATAAAATTTTATTGTCTGAATTGGGGTTCGAACCCACAGAAGTGGAATGCGATCTGAATGCAGCGTCTTTGACAGTTCGGTCATCCTCACAAGTGCGAGAGCGTTTCTTTACATTTAAGTTATGAGAACTAAAAAAAATGACTGAATAAAATTTTATTGTCAGAAGTGGGATTCGAACCCACGCCCACAGAAGTGGAATGCGACCTAAACGCAGCGCTTTAGACCGATCGGCCATCCTAACACGTAAAAGAGCTTTCCCTTGCATTTAGTTTTTTAACCTCAAAAAATGTTTGAATAGAAATACATTGTCAGGAGTGGGATTCGAACCCACCGCCACACAAGTAGACTGCTACCTGAACGCTACGCCTTAGACCGGACGCCCATTCGGACAAGTGCGAGAGCACTTCCTTGCATTTAATTTATAATAACTAAAAAAGAATGACTGAATGAAATATAATTGTCAAAAGTGGGATTCCAACCCACGCCCACAGCAGTGGACTGCGACCTGAACGCAGCGCTTTAGACCGACCGCTCAGGAATCTTATCCTGTGAAAGATCTTTCCCTCACATTTAGTTTATGAAAACTAAAAAAAAATGACGGAATAAAATTACATGATTAGAAGTGGGATTCGAACCCAAGCCAAAACGAGTGGACTGCGACCTGAAAGCAGCGCCTTTGACCGCTTAACCATCCTGAAATTTGCGAGACCGTTTCCTTTAATTTACTTTATGAGAACTAATAAAAAATGACTCAATGAAATAAAATTGCTAGACGTGGGATTTGGTCCCACGAACACGCAAGTGGACTGCGACCTAAACGCAGCGACTTAGATCGCTCGGCTATCCTGACACGTGCGAGAGCGCGTTTCCTTACAATTAATTTATCAGAACTAAAAAAATGACTGAATAAAATTTTATTGTCAGAAGTGGTATTCAAACCAACGCCCAACAGAAGTGGACTGCGACCTGAACGCATCTCCTTTGACCACTCGGCCGTACTGACATGTGAAAGAGATATTTCCCTTACATTTACTTTTTGGAACCTAAGAAAAGTAACCGAATGAAATTTTACTGTCAGAAGTGGGATTCGAACCCACGCCCACAGAAGTGGACTGCGACCTGAACGCAGCGCCTTAGACCGCTCGGCCATCCTGACACGTAAAAGAGCTTTCTCTTGCATTTAGTTTAACCTCCAAAAACGTTTGAATAGAAATACATTGTAAGAAGTGGGATTCGAACCTACGCCCACAGAAGTGGACTGCGACCTGACCGCAGCGCCTTAGAGCGCTCAGCCATCCTGACATTTAGAAGAACTTTACTTGCATTTAGTTTTTAAACCTCAAAAAATGACTGAATAGAAATACATTGTCAGAGGTGGGATTCGAACCTACGCCCACAGAAGTGGACTGCCGCCTGACCGCAGCGCCTTAGAGCGCTCAGCCATCCTGACACGTTGGAGAGTGTGTTTCATTTCATTTAATTAATGAGAACTAAAAAAAATGAATGAATACAATATAATTGTCAAACGTGGGATTCGAACCCACGCCTACAGAATTTTACTGCGACCTGAACGCAGCGCTTTAGACGCTCAGGAATCTTAACCTGTGAAAGATCTTTCCCTCACATTTAGTTTATGAAAACTAAAAAAAAAATGACTGAATAAAATTACATTATCAGAAGTGGGATTCGAACCCAAGCAAAAACTAGTGGACTGCGACCTGAACGCAGCGCCTTTGACCGCTCGGCCATCTTGACACGTGCTACAGCGTTTCTTTACATTTAATTTATGAGAAGTAAAAAAAAAGACTGAAGGGAAGTCAATAGGGCCTATACCGACAATGTTAAATTGAGCCATTTTAGGTACAAGTTTCTCAGAAACTGTTAAATATATAAACTTCAAATTTTGTCTGTATATTAATTATACTTTTTTATTTAATTACTGGTAAATATATTTTAAAATATATTGTTTACTTTTTTCAAAAAATTCATCGTAAAAGTATCACTTTGAAATTTTTGAAAACTGTCAAATTTTTTACGATAACTGCTTTTCCGCAAAATATTTCAAGAAAATTTTCCAAAAAATAAGCTTAGTATATAGAGTTACATATTAATTATGTGCAGTAAAAATTGCATGTTCACTCATTCTGTAGATTCTGAGAAAACTGTACTCGTGGTTTGAAAACAACCATTTTGAGATAATTGCATTTTTAGTGTAAAAAAGCATTTGATCACAAAAATAATGAATTACAACATGTTTTTGCCCTATTTTATTAAATATTAGCTTATTCTTAATTACTTTTAAGGTTTTTTAATTTTTTCTTATACTTAGATTTCTCAGAAAATACATTTATAGCATTTTTCACTTTTAAGCTATCGAGTTATTTTTTAGCGTTTATATATTTTACTCAAATTCTGTATCAATTTTTGAGGAATTTTCAGTTCTGATACATTACTTTCATAAAATTTTGACTCTAAAGCATCATAAATACCATGTGAAATTGTGTCAATACATGAAAATATGGCTTTGGTAATACATGATTATACACACTATTTCGAAAAGTTTCATTAGTGTTTTATATATTCACCTGTTAACGAATTTACAGCAGCAGAATTAAAAATTTTCTTTAAATATTTGGTAAATGGTATTCAAAACAACAAAAACATAAAAACAGAACATAAAACAAGTGAAAGAGATTTCCCTTACATTTTGCTTTTCGAACCTAAAAAAAATATCTGAATAAAATTTTATTGTCAGAAGTGGGATTCGAACCCACGCCCACAGCAGTAGACTGCGACCTGAACGCAGTGCTTTAGACCGACCGTCTAGGAATCTTATCCTGTGAAAGATCTTTCCCTCACATTTAGTTTAAGAAAACTAAAAAAAAAATGACTGAATAAAATTACATCAGAAGTGGGATTCGAACCCACGCCAAAAACGAGTGGACTGCGAACTGAACGCAGCGCTTAGACCGTTTGGCTATCCTGACACGTAGAAGAGCTTTCCCTTGCATTCAGTTTTTTAACATTTAAAAAATGTTTGAATAGAAATACATTGTCAGAAGTGGGATTCGAACCCACGCCAAAACCGAGTGGACTTCGACATGAACGCAGCGCCTTTGAACGCTTGGCCATCCTGAAATTTGAGAAAACGTTTCTTTTAATTTACTTTATGAGAACTAAAAAAAATAACTAAATATAATTGCTCGACGTGGGAGTTGGACCCTGGAACACGCAAGTGTACTGCGACCTGATTGCATCGCCTTAGACCGCTCGGCGATCCAGACACGTGCGAGAGCATTTCCTTACATTTAAGTTATGAGAACTCAAAAAAAATGACTGAATAAAATTCTATTGTCAGAAGTGGGATTCGAACCCACGCCCACAGAAGTGGAATGTGATCTAAACGCAGCGCCTTAGACAACTCGGCCATCCTGACACGCAAAATAGCTTTCCTTGCATAAAGTTTTTTAACCTCAAAAAATGACTGAAAGAAATACATTGTCAGAAGTGGGATTCGAACCCACGCCCACAAAAGTGTACTGCGACCTGATTGCAGCGCCTTAGACCGCTCGGCCATCCAGACACGTGCGAGAGCATTTCCTTACATTTAATTTATGAGAACTCAAAAAAAAAAGACTGAATAAAGTTTTATTGTCAGAAGTGGGATTCGAACCCACACCCACAGAAGTGGCATGTGATCTAAACGCAGCGCCTTAGACCGATCGGCCATCCTGACATATGAAAGAGTTTTAACTTACTTTTAGATTTGGAACCTAAGAAAAGTATGTGAATAAAATTTTATTTTCAGAAGTGGGATTCGAACCCACGCCCACAGAAGTGGACTGCGACCTGAACGCAGCGCCTTAGGCCGCTCGGCCATCCTGACACGCAAAATAGCTTTCCCTTGCATGTAGTTTTTAACTTCAAAAAATGACTGAAAGAAAGAGATTGTCAGAAGTGGGATTCGAACCCACAACCACGCAAGTGGACTAGGACCTGATTGCAGCGCCTTAAACCGCTTGGCCATCCTGACACGCAAAATAGCTTTCCCTTGCATTTAGTTCTTAAACCTCAAAAAATGACTGAATAGAAATACATTGTCAGAAGTGGGATTCAAACCCACGCCCACACAAGTGGACTGCGACCTGAACGCAGCGCCTTAGACCGCTCGGCCATCCTGAAACGTGGGAGAGTGTTACCTTTCATTTAATTAATGAGAACTTAAAAAATGAATGAATGAAATATAATTGTCATACGTGAAATCCAAAACAACGCCTGCAGAATTTTACTGCGACCTGAACGACGCGCTTTAGACCACTCAGGAATCTTAACCTATGAAAGTTCTTTGCCTTACATTTAGTTTATGAAAACTAAAAAAAAATAATGACTCAATAAAAATTACATTATCAGAAGTGGGATTCGAACCCACGTTAAAACCGAGTGGACTTCGACATGAACGCAGCACCTTTAACCGCTTGGCCAGCCTGAAATTTGAGAAAACGTTTCATTTACTTTACTTTATGAGAACTAAAAAAAAAATAACTCAACTAAATATAATTGCTCGACGTGGGATTTGGACCCCCGAGCACGCAACTGGACTGCGACTTGATTGCAGCGCCTTAGACCGTTCGGCCATCCAGACACGTGCGAGAGCACTTTATTACATTTAAGTTATGAGAACTAAAAAAAATGACTGAATAAAATTCTATAGTCAGAAGTGGGATTCGAACCCACGCCCACAGAAGTGGAATGTGATCTAAACGCAGCGCCTTAGTCCGATCGGCCAACCTGACAAGTGAAAGAGTTTTCCCCTTACATTTAGTTTTTGGAACCTAAGAAAAGTATGTGAATAAAATTTTATTGTCAGAAGTGGACTGCGACCTGAACGCAGCGCCTTAGACCGCTCGTCCATCCTGACACGCAAAATAGTTTTCCCTTGCATTTTGTTCTTTAACCTCAAAAAAGGACTGAATAGAAATACATTGTCAGAAGTGGGATTCGAACCCACGCCCACACAAGTGGACTGCGACCTGAACGCAGCGCCTTAAATCGCTCGGCCATCCTGACACGTGGGAGAGTGTTTCCTTTCATTTAATTAATGAGAACTTAAAAAATTGAATGAATGAAATATAATTGTCAAATGTGGAATCCGAAACCACGCCTGCAGAATTTTACTGCGACCTGAACGCAGCGCTTTAGACCACTCAGGAATCTTAACCTATGAAAGATCTTTGCCTTACATTTAGTTTCTGAAAACTAAAAAAATAATGACTCAATAAAATTACATGATCAGAAGTGGGATTCGAACCCACCCCAAAACCGGAAGGACTTCGACATGAAAGCAGCGCCTTTGCCGCTTGGCTATCCTGAAATTTGAGAAAACGTTTCCTTTAATTTACTTTATGAGAACTAAAAAAAAAAAAAACTCAACTAAATATAATTGCTCGATGTGGGAGTTGGACCCCCGAACGCGCAAGTGTACTGCGACCTGATTGCAGCGCCTTAGACCACTCGGCCATCCTGACACGTGAAAGAGAGCGTTTCCTTACATTTAAGTTATGATAACTAAAAAAATGACTAAATAAAATTCTATTGTCAAAAGTGGGATTTGAACCCACGCCCTCAGAAGTGGAATGTGATCTAAACGCAGCGCCATAGACCGATCGGCCAACCTGACATGTGAAAGAGTTTTCCCTTACATTTAGTGTTTGGAACATAAGAAAAGTATGTGAATAAAATTTTATTGTTAGAAGTGGGATTAGAACCCACGCCCACAGAAGTGGACTGCGACCTGAACGCAGCGAATTAGACCGCTCGGCCATCCTGACACGCAAAATAGCTTTCCCTTGCATGTAGTTTTTTAACCTCAAAAAATGACTGAAAGAAATACATTGTCAGAAGTGGGATTCTAACCCACGTCCACGCAAGTGGAATAGGACCTGATTGCAGCGCCTTAAACCGCTCGGCCATCCTGACACGCAAAAAAGCTTTCCCTTGCATGTAGTTTTTTAACCTCAAAAAATGACTGAAAGAAATACATTGTCAGTAGTGGGATTCGAACCCACGCCCACACAAGTGGACTGCGACCTGAACTCAGCGCCTTAGACCGCTCAGCCATCCTGATACGTGGGAGAGTGTTTCCTTTCATTTAATTACTGAGAACTTAAAAATGAATGAATGAAATATAATTGTCAAATGTGGAATCCGAAACCACGCCTGCAGAATTTTTCTGCGACCTGAACGCAGCGCTTTAGACCACTCAAGAATCTTAACCTATGAAAGATCTTTGCCTTACATTTAGTTTATGAAAACTAAAAAAGAATGACTCAATAAAATTATATTATCAGAAGTGGGATTCGAACCCACACTAAAACCGAGTGGATCTCGACATGAACGCAGCGCCTTTGACCGCTTGGCCATCCTGAAATTTGAGAAAACGTTTCCTTTTAATTACTTTATGAGAACTAAACAAAATAACTAAATATAATTGCTCGAAGTGGGAGTTGGTCCCCGAACACGCAAGTGAACTGCGACCTGATTGCAGCGCCTTAGACCGCTCGGCCATCCAGACATGTGCGAGAACACTTTATTACATTTAAGTTATGAGAACTAAAAATAATGACTGAATAAAATTTTATTGTCAGAAGTGGGATTCGAACCTACTCCCACAGAAGTGGAATGTGATATATACGCAGCGCCTTAGACCGATCGGCCTTCCTGACATGTGAAAGTGTTTTAACTTACATTTAGTTTTTGGAACCTAAGAAAAGTATGTGAATAAAATTATGCTGTCAGAAGTGGGATTCGAACCCACGCCCACAGAAGTGGACTGCGACCTGAACGCAGCGCTTTAGATCGCTCGGCCATCCTGACATGCAAATTAGCTTTCCCTTACATTTAGTTGTTTAAAATCAAAAAATGACTGAATAGAAATACATTTTCAGTAGTGGGATTCGAACCCACACCCACACAAGTGGACTGCGACCAGAACGCAGCGCTTTAGACGGCTCGGCCATCCAGACACGTGCGAGAACACTTTATTATACTTAAGTTATGAGAACTAAAAAAATGACTGAATAAAATTTTATTGTCAGAAGTGGGATTCGAACTCACTCCCACAGAAGGGGAATGTGATCTAAACGCAGCGCCTTAGACCGATCGGCCAACCTGACATGTGAACGAGTTTTCCCTTACATTTAGTTTTTGGAACCTAAGAAAAGTATGTGAATAAAATTTTATTGTCAGAAGTGGACTGCGACCTGAACGCAGCGAATTAGACCGCTCGGTCATCCTGACACGCAAAATAGCTTTCCCTTGCATGTAGTTTTTAACCTCAAAAAATGACTGAAAGAAATACGTTGTCAGAAGTGGGATTCTAACCCACGTCCAAGCAAGGGGACTAGGACCTGATTGCAGCGCCTTAAACCGCTCGGCCATCCTGACACGTGGGAGAGTGTTTCCTTTCATTTAATTAATGAGAACTTAAAAAATGAATGAATGAAATATAATTGTCAAATGTGGAATGAAACCACGCCTGCAGAATTTTTCTGCGACCTGAACGCAGCGCTTTAGACCACTCAGGAATCTTAACCTATGGAAGATCTTTTTGCTTTACATTTAGTTTATGAAAACTAAAAAAAATAATGACTCAATAAAATTACATTATCAGAAGTGGGATTCGAACCCACGCCAAAACCGAGTGGACTTCGACATGAACGCAGCACCTTTGACCGCTTGACCAGCCTGAAATTTGAGAAAACGTTTCCTTTAATTTACTTTATGAGAACTAAAAAAATAACTCAACTAAATATAATTGCTCGACGTGGGATTTGGACCCCGAGCACGCAACTGGAGTGCGACTTGATTGCAGCGCCTTAGACCGCTCAGCCATCCAGACACGTGCGAGAGCACTTTATTACATTTAAGTTATGAGAACTAAAAAAAATGACTGAATAAAACTCTATTGTCAAAAGTGGGAGTGGAACCCACGCCCACAGAAGTGGAATGTGATCTAAACGCAGCGCCTTTAGACCGATCGGCCAACCTGACAAGTGAAAGAGTTTTCCCTTACATTTAGTTTTTTGGAACCTAAGAAAAGTATGTGAATAAATTTTTATTTTCAGAAGTGGGATTCGAACCCAAGCACACAGAAGTGGACTGCGACCTGAATGCAGCGCCATAGACCGCTCGGCCATCCTGACACGCAAAATAGCGTTCCCTTGCATGTAGTTTTTAACCTCAAAAAATGACTGAAAAATACATTGTCAGAGGTGGGATTCAAACCCACGCCCACGCAAGTGGACTAAGACCTGATTGCAGCGCCTTAAACCGCTCGGCCATCCTGACACGCAAAATAGCTTTCCCTTGCATTTAGTTCTTAAACCTCAAAAAATGACTGAATAGAAATACATTGTCAGGAGTGGGATTCAAACCCACGCCCACACAAAGTGGACTGCGACCTGAACGCAGCGCCTTAGACCGCTCGGCCATCCTGAAACGTGGGAGAGTGTTACCTTTCATTTAATTAATGAGAACTTAAAAATGAATGAATGAAATATAATTGTCAAACGTGAAATCAAAACAACGCCTGCAGAATTTTACTGCGACCTGAACGACGCGCTTTAGACCACTCAGGAATCTTAACCTATGAAAGTTCTTTTGCCTTACATTTAGTTTATGAAAACTAAAAAAATAATGACTCAATAAAATTACATTATCAGAAGTGGGATTCGAACCCACGTTAAAACCGAGTGGACTTCGACATGAACGCAGCACCTTTAACCGCTTGGCCAGCCTGAAATTTGAGAAAACGTTTCCTTTAATTTACTTTATCAGAACTAAAAAAAAAAATAACTCAACTAAATATAATTGCTCGACGTAGGATTTGGACCCCCGAACACGCAAGTGGACTGCGACCTGATTGCAGCGCCTTAGACCGCTCGACGATCCTGACACATGCGAGCGTTTCCTTACATTTAAGTTATGAGAACTAAAAAAAAATGACTGAATAAATTTTTATTGTCAGAAGTGGGATTCGAACGCACGCCCACAGAAGTGTACTGCGACCTGAACGCAGCGCCTTAGACCGCTCGGCCATCCTGACTCGCAAAACAGCTTTCCCTTGCATGTAGTTTTTAACCTCAAAAAATGACTGTAAGAAATACATTGTCAGAAGTGGGATTCGAACCCACGCCCACACAAAATGGACTGCGACCTGAACGCAGCGCCTTAGACCGGTCGGCCATCTTGACACGTGGGAGAGTTTTTCCTTTCATTTAATTAATGAGAACTAAAAAATGAATGAATGAATTATAATTGTCAAACGTGGAATCCGAAACCACGCCTGCGGAATTTTACTGCGACCTAAACGCAGCGCTTTAGACCGCTCAGGAATCTTAACCTATTAAAGATCTTTGCTTTACATTTAGTTTATGAAAACTAAAAAAATTAAGACTGAATAAAATTACATTATCAGAAGTGGGATCGAACCCACGCCCACAGAAGTGGACTGCGAATGTTGAATCCGAAACCACGCCTGCAGAATTTTTCTGCCACCTGAACGCAGCGCTTTAGACCACTCAGGAATCTTAACCTATGAAAGTTCTTTGCCTTACATTTAGTTTATGAAAACTAAAAAAATAATGGCTCAATAAAAATTACATTATCAGAGTGGGATTCGAACCCACGCCAAAACCGAGTGGACTTCGACATGAACGCAGCACCTTTGACCGCTTGGCCAGCCTGAAATTTGAGAAAACGTTTCCCTTTAATTTACTTTATGAGAACTAAAAAAATAATTAAATATAATTGCTCGACGTGGGATTTGAACCCCGAACACGCAAGTGGACTGCGACCTGATTGCAGCGCCTTAGACCGTTTGGCGATCCTGACACGTGCGAGCGTTTTCCTTACTTTTAAGTTATGAGAACTAAAAAAATGACTGAATAAATTTTTATTGTCAGAAGTGGGATTCGAACCCACGCCCACAGAAGTGGAATGTGATCTAAACGCAGCGCCTAAGACCGCTCGGCCATCCTGACACGCAAAATAGTTTTCCCTTACATTTAGTTCTTTAAACTCAAAAAATAACTGAATATAAATACATTGTCAGTAGTGGGATTCGAACCCACGCCCACACAAGTGGACTGCGACCTGAACACAGCGCCTTAGACCGCTCCGCCATCCTGATACGTGGGAGAGTGTTTCCTTTCATTTAATTAATGAGAACTTAAAAATGAATGAATGAAATATAATTGTCAAATGTGGAATCCGAAACCACGCCTGCAGAATTTTTCTGCGACCTGAACGCAGCGCTTTAGACCACTCAGGAATCTTAACCTATTTAAGATCTTTGCCTTACATTTAGTTTATGAAAACTAAAAAAAAATAATGACTCAATAAAATTACATTATCAGAAGTGAGATTCGAACCCACGCCAAAACCTAGTGGACTTCGACATGAACGCAGCACCTTTGACCGCTTGACCAGCCTGAAATTTGAGAAAACGTTTCCTTTAATTTACTTTATGAGAACTAAAAAAATAACTCAACTAAATATAATTGCTCGACGTGGGATTTGGACCCCCGAGCACGCAACTGGAGTGCGACTTGATTGCAGCGCCTTAGACCGCTCAGCCATCCAGACACGTGCGAGGGCACTTTATTACATTTAAGTTATGAGAACTAAAAAAAAAAATGACTGAATAAAACTCTATTGTCAAAAGTGGGAGTGGAACCCACGCCCACAGAAGTGGAATGTGATCTAAACGCAGCGCCTTAGACCGATCGGCCAACCTGACAAGTGAAAGAGTTTTCCCTTACATTTAGTTTTGGAACCTAAGAAAAGAATGTGAATAAATTTTTATTTTCAGAAGTGGGATTCGAACCCAAGCACACAGAAGTGGACTGCGACCTGAACGCAGCGCCATAGACCGCTCGGCCATCCTGACACGCAAAATAGCTTTCCCTTGCATGTAGTTTTTAACCTCAAAAAATGACTGAAAATATGCATTGTCAGAAGTGGGATTCAAACCCACGCCCACGCAAGTGGACTAAGACCTGATTGCAGCGCCTTAAACCGCTCGGCCATCCTGACACGCAAAAAAGCTTTCCCTTGCATTTAGTTCTTTAACCTCAAAAAATGACTGAATAGAAATACATTGTCAGGAGTGGGATTCGAACCCACGCCCACACAAGTGGACTGCGACCTGAACGCAGCGCCTTAGACCGCTCGGCCATCCTGATACGTGGGAGATTGTTTCCTTTCATTTAATTAATGAGAACTTAAAAAATGAATGAATGAAATATAATTGTCAAATGTGGAATCCGAAACCACGCCTGCAGAATTTTTCTGCGACCTGAACGCAGCGCTTTAGACCACTCAGGAATCTTAACCTATGAAAGATCTTTGCCTTACATTTAGTTTATGAAAACTAAAAAAATAATGACTCAATAAAATTACATTATCAGAAGTGGGATTCGAACCCACGCCAAAACCGGAAGGACTTCGACATGAACGCAGCGCCTTTGACCGCTTGGCCATCCTGAAATTTGAGAAAAAGTTTCCTTTAATTTACTTTATGAGAACTAAAAAAAATAACTCATCTAAATATAAATGCTCGACGTGGGAGTTGGACCCCGGAACGCGCAAGTGTACTGCGACCTGATTGCAGCGCCTTAGAGCACTCGGCCATCCGACACGTGCGAGAGCATTTCCTTACATTTAAGTTATGAAAACTAAAAAAAAAATGACTGAATAAAATTCTATTGTCAGAAGTGGGATTCGAACCCACGCCCACAGAAGTGGAATGTGATCTAAACGCAGCGCCTTAGACCGATCGGCCATCCTGACATGTGAAAGAGTTTTCCTTACATTTAGTTTTTGGAACCTCAAAAAATATGTGAATAAAATTTTACTGTCAGAAGTGGGATTCGAACCCACGTCCACAGAAGTGGACTGCGACCTGAACGCAGCGCCTTAACCGCTCGGCCATCCTGACACGCAAAATAGCTTTCACTTGCA